GGCAGTTGTTAAGTGAGTCAGTCATACAAACTTTATTGCCATGGTGGTTAAGCGAATCACTGCAATTGTGAAGTGAATCGGGCAGTTGTTAAGCGAATACCCCATTTACTCTGCTTGTCAGAAGCCACTTGGGAAGGTCGCAAATGGCGGCCACATGCTCCCGGGATGCTACAACCATCATAAATACATGCCAGTTGCCAAGCACCCAAATTTTGTTCATATGACTGAGAATCCTACAACAGTCATAAAGTTAAAGACTGGTTGTAGGTCAACTTTTTCGGTGCCATTGTAATTTCGAACCGCCGCTAAATGACTGGTTATAAGTTGAGGAATACCCGTAGTCTTTCCGGTGCTAATGATTTGCAGGCCCCCAATTCCAGGTTCAATCCTTTGCACTACTGTATCAGGGAAATAAGGCTACGTGAGAACGAGAGATTATTGGGAGATTCCTTCACTATTCTAGGGCAGCTTCCACAATGATATTGTAAGCCACTCAGAGTCACCTCACGGTGAGGTGGACGGCAAACAAATTTAATAATAATAATAAAAAAATAGAACTGGAGCAACAGAGACCGTTAGGGCACTTTGTAGGATAAATGCGAGTAGCCCACAAAAATCTACATCATAATCTGCTTCCTGAAACATTTAGTTCTCCTGCAAATGGGGAGACCCCATAAGTCACTGGGTGAGCAAAAGCAATTACTAAATACTCAGCTTCTTTTGAAACCCTGCCAATTACTACCTTTCCTGGGCTTGGTTGTAAAGATGTTTTGGAATTGGCCAATTTGCAAAGAATGCTAGATTCAGTTGTAATGGGGAAGGGCGGCACATGTATATATGGTAACATCTAGCTCAATTCCAAAAGCAGGGACCAAAAGCAAATTGTATGGAACTGAATGAGTGATCTGAATCTAATATTGGAGAGTAAAACTGAAAATGCAATTAAAAAAATACTTTTATGTTTTTAAAATTTCAAAAGGAAATCTTATCCATGATGCCTTATTATACACAAAATCACATCCCAATTAAAAACAAAAATAACATGGCTATGAATACCACTCACTCAAATAGATTTAGTATTTTTTAGGCTGATCAAATTTTCCATTAAAAGAGTATTTCATACATTTCAAGTTATCAAAAATATATTCGAAAATTAGATTCCTTTAATATTCTGTGTAAGAGCCAGTCCTCTTTTCTAAACATACACGTGGAGAGGCACGCAAAATACAGCAGTATTTTTAAACATTTTTTAAACATACATGAAAATAATATTTGGGAGGCAAAATTCCCCGAGGACAATTGACACACAGTATTTATAGTGCATCCGTGTATGTACAGAAATTTAAAGCACACAAAATTGTGCATTTAATGTACAATTTAAAGTTTTAACATACACTCAGTTGCATGAACAGCAACAAATTACAATAAGAATCGGAACAAGGACAAGCAATCAATGGCCAAATTGCTCTATATAGACAAGGCCGGATGGTATTTAATAAGACTGGCTGAAAACATGTTGCCTCCCAAGTTGCTGCACACACACACATACACACACACCCAAAGGTCGTGCCCCAACATTCTCTGCTTGGGACATTGCAAAGGATTGGGGATGCATTTTTGGATCCCATGCTGGTTTAATGGCAATCTTCAAAATATTGCCATTGCAGGTAGCCTTCTGGCTGTTTTTGTGATCAAGCTGATGCTGCTATTAATATCTTACAAATCTCATTTACACTTTTTTCTCTTAAGATGCTTTTTTCCCCCTAAGGGTGAAGAGTAGGCACAATTCTGTCCAGTGGCTAAACTTTCAGACAAGAGAGTAAAAATTGGTTCCTGGTTCCTTCTTTTAGATAGCTTCTTTGCTACCCAAACATACCATCTTTCATGACATTCATATTGTTTCCCTTTCCAACTGAGCAAAGCAGCAAGACAATGGTTTGGTGGTCCAGCTCACCAACCACTTGCCTTAGAAGATGCCTCCTGGCTTCAGTGGAATTATTCCGGAATAGCTGGTTTTGGAATTATCCCAGTTATCTTCCAGATTTTTTTTAAAACAGGAAAACATTCCCGCCCCCCAAAAAAGTGGCTTGGTAACCATGCCTGCCCATCCCTCTTAGTATGTGCAAGATAGATTTTTCTTTTTCACCCTCAATTATCTCCTATTCTTGAATCTGAGGAAATTTAAGGAAAAATGGAGAATGAAACTCAAAGTGGGCCAGAACTGGGACATATTCCCACTGTATGCATACTGTGGAGTGTTTTGTTTTTGGCATTAACAGCACTGAAAAAACCATGAAGAATGTAACTGCGGAACTATGTTTCTGGCTATTTTACCAATTCAAGGGATTTTAAAATTTTTTGTAGGACAGTAACATTAGGAGAGATGTTACTGTTACACGGGGCGAGATTGCAATGGGTGAAAGAAGAGGAAACCAGATCATTTGCCATGGTAACCAGATACAAATATAAAAATGTGCTTGGTCTCTCTGTGTGTGTCACTGTGTGTGTCTCTGTGTGTGGGGGTGCTGTTCTTGTGGATGGCAAAAGTAAACTCCTCCTGAAGAAACTCTGAATAGTGCAACATCTTTGCTCAAATATACCAAAAACCTTTCCATAAGGCAGCATATCTATATGATCTATATCTTTATAACTACATTTATATAAACATCTATATCTACATAATCATCTATTATCTATGCCATCTATCTACACCCTGTAACAGTCATGAGCCAAGCATTTAAAGAGTTGACCAGCAACTGAATACATCATTTTGGTGAGCGTGTATGTAAGACTTAGAATAGAAAGATGCATATATCTTTTTCAAAGCATTAATATTTAAAGACTCTTGGTATTCATTTTGGGAATAAAACATTCCCTTCCCTGTATATATGCATGTATGTATTTATATACACCCATGCATATGGAACTCCCTTTTCTCGTCACACTATTTCACATTTTCATTGGCTCCACTGGAAAAAAAATATTTACACTTCAAGAAAGAAGTAGACATAACTTTCTGCATGGCCCCTGTAGTTTCTAAGCATTAATGAAGATGTGGGTAACTAATCCAGCAGAAAACTGAGTGCTGTTGTTCTTTTTAGGGGGGCAGATTTCCTGCAAGTAAGCAGACACTAATGAATGCTAGCTGCAAATCTTGATAGTAACATGGAAAACCTGCCATTTTCCCTTAAAACTGGTAGCTTGCTGCACATGCAAGAGATGATTAGTTCTTCTGCAAACATCAGTGCAGTTAACAACTTCAGTAGAGGTGATTAGTGCATTCAAATGGCTCCAGGATCTGAGCGTCTCCTGATAAGGTTGGGGTCCTGATTATTCAGAGAGGTGTAAGCATGCTTGGTTCTGCTTTCCCTAGAGATCAGTGGGCAGAGAACTACAGAGGTACCCATGTTCTTGTGAATAGTGCAAGTAGATACTTTCAATTTTGTGCAAAAACATTTTGATAATGGCGTCATTGACTTGATGATGGCCTCATTGACTTGAGTAAAACTTTCATTTTGTTATCAATTAAACTTACCCAAAATGGCCTATACCCTTAACAGTAGAATTGTTTAATAGTACCCTCTCCTTTCCAGCTCCTATAACATACATCGATGAGTCCCATGGTACATTTCCATCTAAGAAGTGGTCCAAGGCAGTATTCACAAATCTAACTTCCCACCTGGAGCCACCTGGATATGAGATTCTATATGAACATCCGTCTGCATACTGAGGAGTTGTATAAATTAAAGGGGATTCGAGTCCCAATGGTATACTTACATTCAAAATATTGAGATCAGTAGATTTCACAAGAAACAAAGATAAACCATGATTGGAGGATCACCTCTTCAAAACAGTTAATCAGTAAACTATGATGAAGAACCCATGCCATTACGCCTGAGTGTTCCCACAAATTTATGTGCTCATTCTGCATTTTTGGTAGGGTGAACTGTCAAATCCCATTGACCGAACAGCTGAAATGTAAGAAAAAGGATAAGGTGAAAGACTTCCCTCCAAATAAGATCGCCAACTGATGCTGTCTCTAAAACTGTATCTGTTTATATCACTTAGCTGGGTTTCCACCTGAAGAATGTTGGGAATTACCAACCCATAATGTGCAAAAAACAATCTTGAAGAGAGAAAGTGGTCTGATTTAACGATTTAAGGTAGCTGTATCTTGAAAGACTTATCCTATTCAAATGGCATAGCTGAAAAATGCTGTAGGAGCAAAACTGCTCATACTCTTGTAGATATGAAAACCACAAAACAAAAACAAAACAGTGGGTGGGATTTTTTTTTTGTCTTCCAGTAAAACTTTGGGATCAAGAAAAAGATCCTTTTCAGTGATCTTTCCCACAGAGGATTACAATGGAGGAAAAAGGGTAAAATCAGATAATCAGATAATCTTCTTTGAATTTGCAGAGACCTTTTTGGCTGCCCCACTGGCATCTTGTTATTCTTAAAAAATCAACATTATTTTTCTGAACAATTGCTGTGAATTATCCACATTTGTCCTTACTGATGTTGCGTTGCCCAGTCTGGTGAAACACAATAAAGTCATTGATGCTCAGAGAATTTTTTATTTTTAAAAATCAGCTCCTGGAGCCATGAATGCTACTCAATAAGCATGGGACAAAGCTGACTTTTTAGGATGGGAAAATTCCGTAGTGAAACATTTTAAGTTTCCTGCAAATTTCTTTTTCATGTGAAAAAGATAACATTTTTCTTTCTGCCTTGTTAAATGCCAAATATAAGAGTCAAGAATTGGCCACTTAACTTTAGAAGTTGTAGTGCAGGTAAGCATAGATGCAAAAGTTAAATTTTTTCCCCTATGTCTTTTCTTAGAAAATAATGGCGAACGTCTGCTTTCGGTTTGGTAGAGACATGAATTGGGACTTCTGAATGCAAACTTTGTTTTGAAGAACTAGCCTCCCATTTGCGGCAAGTGTGATCGCATTTTGAAGGCAGGGCAGAAGAGCAGAGTTACCGAGCAACATGATCTCTTAAAGATCGCTACTGAACACTTCAGTGATGTTAGAACAAGACTGATCTTCTGCAATCCTGCCCTGACCCAAAGGGCTGTGAAAATCTGTATGATCTCCAGACTGGTTGTTGCTATCTTCACTGGATAAGGTGGTCTTATAAGGCTCAACATATATTCTGCGGATGTTTGGCCTCAGTTCCTGGTATTTATCTTTCCCTTCTTCTGGGAGACTTGAAGCATGAGATAAGAAAGTACTGCGGGGACAATCAATAGAAATGCTGATCTGCTCACCAGGAGTGGGTTCTTGAGAGTAGTCCATGGCTTGCGTGAGATGGGGAGTGTAGAGGCCTTCAGAAAGAGAGACAGACTGAGTTTCGCTGTGTACACGGAGCCAACGATGATGTCGGCTGAAATAATTGTAGTGTTGATGTTTCCCGTGTTTTTTTTTTCCTAGGAAACTCAAGGATTGCTTTGAGCCGGAATTCTTTTCTGGGTTTTTCGGTGAAAGCCTTCCAATTGACAGACACTGCATGTTCTCCGTAGACTGATCGACCTCCGTCTCGAAGACGCTGCTCCCTCTTGGGTTTTGTTTTGGAGTCAGGCAAGGTTTGATGTCATGGACTTGGAGGACATCTGGAGCACTACCACTCAAACAGCTCACGGCCTGGTGGGAGATATCCTGGGAGGACGAATAAACCAAATCCAATTCTCGCGGACTCAAAGCATCACTGGAATCGTAGTCACTGTCGGTTGGGAGGAATACCTCTGAGCAACCTTCTTCATCGGAATATGGCTGGGAATCTGTAAAGAGAATAGAAATGATTAGCCCTGAACAGACTGCATGTCTTAATTGGGTGCCTAACTTCCCTCTACTGCAAAATGAACCTGAAATGGGTTTCTTTGTTACTGAATAAGGGAGTCCTTGCGGATTTTACTCTGCTAGTCGTTGGCGACTATAGGGGGGCAGTACTCATCTCCATTTCAAGGCCATTGAGCCAATGCTATCCGAACACATTTTCGCGGTCATTTGGCAGCATGATATCGCAGATTGGTGTTACCTTCCCACTATAAGGGTCCCTATTTATCTATTCACATTCGCATGCTTTCGAATTGCTAGGTGAGCAGGAGATGGGGCGAGGATGGGAACTCACCCCATCACATGGCGCTCGGGTCTCAAACCCGGGCGGTCAGCTTTCCAGCCAACAAGCCCAGCATCTTAACCACTGAGCCACTGTGCTGCCATTGTTACTGAATACATTTCTACATTTCTACAAATACGAAGAGGAGAACTTAAGAACCCCATTTCTGATGTTCCCCTTCGGTAGAGAACATGGAGGAATGTATTACTAAAATATTGGTGTTGATAAGGATGGGGTTGGTGGGATCATGGTCCTTTGAGGAGATAACTTTACACTGCTTGCTTAGATGTATCAGGGCCCTCTTTTGTTCTCAAGACTGTGTAGAATTACTTGCCCATTAAATATAGAAGGATCCACTGAAGAAATAACAAGAGGGACTCAGGGACTTCTTCTGAAAAAAGTCTACTCAGGAATAGTCTCTGTTTCTAAGTAAATATTCAGCCTCTCCCCAATTTTTTTATTAAGCCCTTTCTAAGGCTCTGCAATCAAGCCTGTTATGGAGCTTTGACAGCTCAGCTTTCCCTTCTAAATTACTACTTGCTATAAACATTGAACTTGGTTCACATATTGTCCTAAATCAGAATACAATTTGTTTAATTTTGGCTTAATAGGATGACTAAATCCAACTGTTTTGCTCTACAAATTGTGGTTTGTGGCTTAGTTTTATGGGTGAATCTAGTTAATATGGCTTATTCAACAAACCATGATTAAAACTATGGCTTAGTGTGATACATGAATTCAGCCAACATCTTACTTCTGATAGGGCTATCATTTCTGGACTGTAAACATTCAGATAGCCACTCATAGTCATTCTGATACTTTTCAGCCCAGAAATGCTAGTCCTTTAATTTTTGAGTTACCTGTTTAGTCAAATATTGTTTTTTGATTCTTGGATCATGTCCCGCATCTGTTTTTGATCTCTGATTATGTTTGATGCTTCATCTCTTGTTTGGCATGGACTTCGGATAGTTTGATAACCTCACCATGAATTATTGGCTTCATGTATTCTTGACTTCTCTATCAATCTTTATGTCCAATTGTCCAGCCCCAGAACAATAGGAGCCCTTATAGTTTTAGGCTTGCTTAAAAGTTAAAACTATACCTCTAATTTGTATGCTTTGAAACTCTGATAACATGAAGAAACAAGGAATGCCATTCGAAGAATGCCAAATGATTGGCTGTTGTGCTAGATGTATTTTCAGAGCAAAAGCAGGTTATAAATAGTGCCTAATTTTAGTCTGAATAGAAATCTGTATAAGCTCTACTCCGAAATTTGTTCATGATAACAAACAAAAGGTATGATTAATCACTATAATTATTAATTTAGACCTTGGATGCTAAATTCCACTAATATTAAGACAAATAGATTAACAGATTTTTTTTTCTTCCATTCAAACAGAATTTAGAAAAATGCAATTATATTACTTGGAATCTGAATGATTTGCATGTTACTGTGCACAGCTTTAACTCCATTAAATTGGACTATAACCTGTTCAAAGACTTGATTATATAAATGTTGCTAATTTTTTTTTCGGGGGGGAGGAGAGAAGTCCATAATAATAATAATGTTGGAAGGGACTTTGGAGGTCATCTAGTCCAACCCCCTGCTAAGGCAGGAAACCCTATACCATTTCAGACAAATGGCTGCCCAGTCTCTTCTTAAAAACTTCCAGTGAAGTGCATTAGATTGGACAGAATTGAAACTGTAATCTTATCTGTCAGATTTGGGCTCCACTATAAAGCAGCCCTGCTTGTGCCGTGTGAAAAGGGAGTTACTTATATCAGCGTTCCCCAACCTCTCTAGCTCAGTGGACAGGCAGAGGAGGCATTGGGGGGCAGGGGGTAGAGTGGGTAGTTTTGCATGGTTGCGCTGCTTTCATGAATGCAGCTTTGCGCATGTATGTGCACTCTCCTGCCACTTCCACAGTCTGGTTCTGAATGATCTGCAGCCCAGTACCAGGTTGCGGACTGGGGGTTGGGGACCTCTGGTTTATATGCAGTGGTGAGTTTCAGTTGGTTCTCACCAGTTCGGCAGAACCGGTAGCTAATTTTTTGTTGCCCAGGCCCAGAATGGACTTCCGGAAGTGGCATCCACGCAGAGAACCGGTTGTTCACATATTTGAATCCCACCACTGTCTATATGGAATAAGACATCCAAGCACTATCCTTGCTTCTGGGGCCATTCTAGAGATATGAGCTACGGGTGCCACTAAAAGAGAACAGAGAAAGGGATGGATGGGTGAATACACATAGGGAGGACTCAGACCTTGATGGGGAAAATCAGCTATTGGAATGATTTTCCACTGATGGCTCTCCAGGGAAATTGAGGCTGGAACCTACCACACTGGGAAGCTAAAAGGGATTATGACAAAGTTTAGGAGAGGCTTCCTTCCGCTTATCCCCCTCCCCCCCATGTTTCTGATGCATCATAAAAAATAGCTTAATTCTTGGATCAATCAAATACAACCCCTGTTGTTACTCAGAGCAATTAACTTTTTCTTACTAAAGGGGGAAAGCACAGAAGAGCTTGTTGCTTGTTCTTCCCTGCATTTTCCGGACTGCCTGACTCTAGACAGCTGGACTAACCTTTTGGGATTTTTGCCAGCCGCAGGAGCGTGGATTCTTTGGAAAGCCCTACGGCTGGTACGTGACGCCACTCATCTGTTCCCAACACAAAACGGAGAGACCAGACAAGCGCCGAAAAAAAAAGCTCCCAAACCAAACCAAAATAAAAACAAGTCTTCAATCTCAGAATGCAAACATCAGCTGCATGCGCTTCCTTCAGTATATTTATTCTGATGCTGGGCTGTTTGTGAAAGAGGCTCTGTTTTTATGTGCAGATCTCAGTTTTCAGTGTGCATGACATGGGAAATAATTCATATCAGTTTGTCACCTGAACTATGTACTGGGGGCGGGGAGGTGAAGAGTATTATGTAGGGATACTATCCTTTGGATTTGTATGCTAGATGGATACAGAGGTAGTATATATTCTGTCAGGACAGATGGGGCAAAATAGAAGGAGGTAGAAGAATAGGGATTCTTGTACTGCAGGCCACCGAATTCATTGGAACATTGAATAATTTACATGTGTTCCCCTGCTTGGTCCTTTTCCAGATAGAAAGGATATCCAACATGTTAAGTCCGGAGATAAATGGCGCTGAAGGCAATTCATGTTACAGAACAGATCTTTATTCTCTCTTCGTCACAACTACCAACCAACAAGAGCAAAGGCACGCAGGCCTCTTTTTATACTCCCAGAGTATTGGCAACCCAACCAATAGCAGGCATTCTTTTCCTGCCTTGCGCATGTGCGCAAGGACTCTTGCAGCGTCCCGAGCCTGCTTCTGCAGGCTCAGGACACAACACAACACATATATGGAGGGTATTGATTGGGCAGAGCTAACATACATATTTTTATCATTTTATTCATTTACTCTTGTTATTATTACATTTTTTTATCATATGAAGCGCAGTGGCTCAGTGGTTTAATGACGCTGAAGATGGACTTTGCTCCAGCAGTTCAAGTCCTAGCACTGCGAGCCGGGGTGAGCTCCCGTCACTTGCCTCAACTTCTGCCCACCTTGCAGTTCGAAAGCATGTTCTATGCGAGTATATAAATAGGTACCACTTGGTGGTGGTGGTGGTGGGGGATGAGTTGGTACTCTGTGCAGGCAGTCAAATGGTTACGGAGCCTGTTTACGAGGCAGCTCTGGGAAAGGGAGGAGGCCTAGGATGAAACTTCAGAAAGAGCTGCTTCTCTATCTCTCTCTCTCTCTGGTGAGAAGCCAGCTTGCCCTCTTGTGGCACACCATGGGAAGCAGGCAAGCCTGTAGCTGATAGAGCTGGTAAACAAGCAGCCAAACTGCTCCTTCGCAAAAGACTTATAGTCTCCTGGTTCATGTAACAATGCCAAAAACAAAGATTTTTTTTTTGTTATTTATCATTTTTTATTTTCCTTTTAATGTTGTAAGCTACTCCCCTCGGTGAGATGGATGGCAAATTAATTAATTAACTAAATCACCTGCTTTATTAGTGGGACATGATGATGGAGGGGCCAGGAGTGGAAAAGATAAGAGGGTTTTATATCAGTCTGTTCATCCTCCATCATATTCTAATTATTCTGTTCAAGTGTGAGCCTTCAGACAAAGTTTATTGACTGATTCTCACCTAGCGCAGGTACCCTGGGAGAAATGCCTCTTTTAAAATGTTTTCTTTTTATTTGTTATTATTATTTATTAAATTTTTGTTTAATAAAGAGCTGGAAATTATATTAGAAATACAAATCTAATACAGTTTGAACATATTGCTCAAATGTCTTTCTTACTCCTTTGTTGAAAAAGATTAATTCAAATGTTGACAGAGAACATCTATCTATAATCCATTGCTGCAAGTCTACTTATTACATATTTTTCATTCTAGTGTGGTATAATAATTCTTTTAGCCAATTCCCATGCCCCCCAATCCATATTCTTCATATTTTGATCAAGTCCTAGAAATATAGACATGAAGAACATATGCATAGTTAACATACAGTGATTGATCCAGAGTCATGTTAATAATTTTGTTGATGTCATCTCCAAATGCAACAGTAATGAAACAAGTCCAGACCAAACAGGTTAATATTTTAGGTCCTGAGTTATGTTTCCAATATCAGGAAGATGTTAATTGTTTAAATAAAGCTGAGCTTTTGTGCTCACGTTAATGGGTTTATTGAGCAGAGGATCAGCTCTAGTCATTAAAATACAAACACACAGAGATAATGACTGAGAAAAAGGCAATAATTGGATGATTATTTTAAGACTGCACCACTGGTCAGCAAAAGTAGCGCTGGTTAGCTCAAGCATGGCAATGCAGAGATTTGTGGTGCAGTGTGAAAACATTTTTACGGGTTGAATATAATGTGACATACCCAGAGATGTTCAAGCAGAACAGTTTTAATACTGATTAGAACATAGCATTTGATTTGTGCTTATTCTACATTAATCATACTGATGGGGGAATTTAGGAGCCAAATGTGAATGATGCCAAATTAGAGAAGGGAACTCTTCAGAATAGCAGTAGCACTTAGACTTATATACCGCTTCACAGTACTTTACAGCCCTCTGTAAGCAGTTTACAGAGTCAGCATTATTGCCCCCAACAATCTGGATCCTCATTTTACTGACCTCGGAAGGATGAAAGGCTGAGTCAACCTTAAGCCAGCCAGATATAGCTGTGGATAGAAGGATAACACTTCCTCGGTTAATTTGGCTGAATAATACATCTGGAGTGGAGACCTATCACAGAGATGCCAAATCCAGTGGCAAATGTAACACAGCCACTTTGAGTTCTTTAGGCAGCTCTAGCTTACAGTGGTGACTATGTTCTACTGAATCAGAAATGGTGGAAACCTTGATGAAAGAGATGGAAGATATTTTACCCTTACCAGCTTTTCTCCTTGGTATCTCTATCTCTGGGGAAGGAGGTGGGGATGGAAGACAGTCCAGATGGGAGGAGGTTGAGCTTATTTTCTTCTGCAGGGGTTCCTCTGAGAGATCGAGAATTTTCACGAGGGGCAAGCCAGAGGTTGTGGGTCTATACCGTGCATACTGCAAGGCTTCATTGATCCACCTCATTTCACGCCAGATCTCATCAATTTGCTGCATGAGGAAATAATACAGACATATTTTCACAAGCAACTCTTGTTTGGTTTGATAAATTTAATTGACTTTTGTTAATTGCAAGAGAAAGATAACCCTAGTAGAATTTGATAAGGATCTTTAAGATGAACTGCCTTCTCATGCACTCAAGATTTTTTCACTGTACCTTCTCCTTCCAATTTCCCAGAGTATGGCACTTTATATGGGGGACTTTATATTAGGGGACTGGAGGCTAAAACATATAAGGAACGGTTGTTGGAATTGGGTATGTCTAGTTTAACGAAGAGAAGGACGAGGGGGGACATGATAGCAGTGTTCCAATATCTCAGAGGCTGCCACAAAGAAGAGGGAGTCAAGCTATTTTCCAAAGCGCCTGAAGGCAGGACAAGAAGCAACGGGTGGAAACTAACCAAAGAGAGAAGCAACCTAGAACTAAGGAGAAACTTCCTGACAGTTAGAACAATTAACCAGTGGAACAACCTGCCTCCAGAAGCGATGAATGCTCCAACACTGGAAGTTTTTAAGAAAAAACTGGACAGCCATTTGTCCGAAATGGTATAGGGTTTCCTGCCTGAGCAGGGAGTTGGACTAGAAGACCTCCAAGGTCCCTTCCAACTTTATCATTATTATTATTATTATATGCATTATTAATTTTGGCCTAGCTAGCAAATCACAGCAACCTCTAAAGTTTTATGAGTTCTGACTTTCTGGTTTTTGGGAGAGATGATAGCTTTTTAAAATATCTGTTTAAAAAAAAGGTCAGAAGTAATTATGTTTCATAACTTTAGTTTTTTTCTTCTGTTTATTTTCTTGCACCTCTTTTTCCTTTTTTTATCTTTTTCTTTAGATTTGTTTTTTACTCTATGCAATATAACTAACATAAATAAATAAAATAGATTCTCAGATCCTGGACATAATTTAAGGTATTAATAACCTCTGCCATCTAGCATACCGTATCCTGCATTTCTTGACAATAACCATAAAGGTTTAGCACAATTCCTTAAAAAGAAGAAAGATGTGCACATTGTCACCTGTGACCTAGTGTCCATGGGTACATACTAAGCTGTGCCTTGAAGGACGGAGACACAGCTATTTCACGTGGGCATCTCCCAAAAGTGCTGGGGGAAGGATGTTAAAACATATGTGAGGGAGATATCACCACACACATGTGGTGATGTTCTAGTTTGTTACAAGTTTGGCTATATTCATATCCCTTTATTATCTGCTTTTTAAATGTGCATTATTATTGCCTATAAATAAAATAGGGAAATTGATCAAAATCCCCTAAACCCAAAGTTAGGAGAGAAAACATAGAAAGCAAAACTCAATTTGTAAATAAATAATGAAACATTGCCATAATTTTAAAACACTTTGGAACAACTATTGATTGGAAAAGTATTCACAATAATTTCCAAGTTGTTTTTTTCTTTAGCAAACTAGCTGTTTGCCATCCAGAGTCATGGGCAGCCATATAATTTTTCTGCACGAATAAACAACCAAATAAATCTTTACCTCTCATGTGATGTTACCCAATCTCTTTTGATGTATATGAAAGAACAAAAGTACAACTGCTTGTTTCTATGTCTTTAAGAGTGTCTGACACATAACACTGTATATTTAAATGAAGATTTATTTTCAAAGTCAGCTTCGGATATTTGTTATATCTTAGTCAATCCTGAAAAAAAACTTCTTTTCTCACAATTCCATAGCCTATCAGGCTACAACATATTCTTTGCCTACATATAATTTTTACCATTTAGTTTCTCACCAATTGCCATTGCTGAACAGCGTTTATGGACTCCTTCACTCTTTACAGTGTTTGGTTTGTATAGTGACTGTCTTAGATCTAGGATCATACAAATGTTCTTGTGGTTTTGCGGTTGCGGCTGAAGATTGTGGTATGTGGTGGAGTGAATTAGTGTTTCTTTCCCCCCTTTTTCCATTGCCAGTAGGTGGAATACAGCTGGTTTTCATTTGAGAAGGAACCTGACAGGTCCAATATGCTGTCACAGTAATTTGGTACAAACATGGTGGTTTAAAAAATGGCCACATTTTCATCAATCATAAACAATCATGCAACCCAGGACGTAAATTTCTGTCTTTTCTATGAAATGTTTGTCAGGAGCAGAACAGACCTCCTCACTTGTTAGAATCCTTACCATTTGGTATGTTATTTTTTTTTTAAAAAAAAGAAGTCTTAAACAATTAACAGTATGTGAACGAATATAATAATTTATGTCTTTTACTTTTTAAACATATGTACAAGGTTTCATTGTCTTTATTTAGCAAGCTTTTGACTGCAGTTAGTTTTTAAAAATGCAGAAATGAAAAAAAAATTGCCAACAATTATTTACACCCCTCTCTCTCTTTAGTCACACATTATTCACTGAAGCACCAAGAAGGAACCAGTAATCAATGCAACAATTGGTATAAAATGAAATCACTTTGTGGGATGGTGAAGCTGCTGGGAAGATAGAGGTTAAAAGTTGTGTGGGGGGGAAAGATTTCCTGTGAAATGACCTATCTGGATGGAGAGAATAGTGAACAGGTGGATGGGGATATAATTAGATTAATACGAGTAAATTTTAAAATGTTAAAAGCATTGGATATTAAGTGATGTGGAAAAGAAGGCATTTGTTTCAGAGTTTGAAACCAAAGGCTATTTGATAAAGCTAATGATTTATTTACAAAATAGTAATGTCACAAAAGAGAAATGTATTGCATCCTGGATTAAATTTAAGATCACTTGAAACTATCAGAAGTGGTTAGAGATATAAGCTAACTATATTAAAAATTGATTGATTTGATATCATCAAACAGATGTTGACTCATAGCAATTTTCTCTAGGACAACATATTTCCAATCTGGTCCTTCAGGTCTTCCAATGGTGGAGTCATTGCTGAGGTAATTAAAGCTATCTACTTTGCTCTTTTCTTCCAGGAGTTTTCATCAAAACAAAGCACAAAAACATCAATACACTTTCTGTCTTGCTTCTTCAAGCCCAGGGTTCACTTCCATAGAGTGTCCAAGTGAAAACCATGGCCTGCATGATTCTGATCTGTGTAGCTATAGACACAAAACGTATTGCTATTGTACCCAGTACTACGGTACTGTAGTCTCCTTTCTTCTGGCATGTAGACTGATCTCTTCCAATCTGTTGATCACTGTGACCTTCTCCAGATCTCTACTGGCATAATTTGATTTACAGATTCTTCTTCTGTAGCCTGCCATGCTTCTGTGGTAGATATTCCATCAATTCTTGTAACCTTTTGACTTGATAATGACTGGAATGCCGATTTGATTTCATCTTCTTGTTCTTGTAAGTAGAGAATATCTTCTAAATTATTATAGTTCATTGTACAGTCAGCCAGATGTTCAGACTGGATTTGGCATTTTTGTCCACCTATCGAGTCCTTTCCAAGGACTCAGAACAGACAGATGGGGATGCTTGATGGTGTTACAGATATCATCACAGGATGTAAGCTTTTCCAAGTAAAACTGCCTTCTGCAATTGGCTGATGTTGAATTTGTCAATGCCAATGGTGTTCAAGTGGAGCTCCAATAGTCTTGGGATCGTACCCAAGGTGCCTATTACTATTGGTAAGTGTTATTGAATTGATTGTGATTTCTTTGATTGTTGTGAGCTGCTCAAAACCATTGAGAGTCAGGCACTATAAAAGTTTAATTGATACTAATACTATAGTATCCAAAGAAATCAGTAACACTTCAAAGATAAAGATAAAATATGGCAAGCATGATGAAGAGAGGGGTCTCACTTTTCTTCTCCAAAAGCTGGGCTGAAGAGCCAGGTGTTTACAGCTCTTCTAAACAACAACAGAGTGTGGGCCATCCTGATCTGGGGCAGAGGGAGCTTGTTCCAGAGGTCAGGTGCTGCTACAGAGAAGGTGCACTTTTGGGTTTGTGATAGATGACACCTTAATGTTGATATCTCTATTGTACTGAATCTGAGTCTGTTCCTTCCACCTTTGCTTGATTTCTTGGACTCAGTTACCCTGTGCCCATTGCAATGTGCAGCTTTTGCTCACATAGGAAAAGGCATGGGTTTCAGGTAGTCCCCAATTTATGCCTGTAATAAAACCTTCCCATTATGGTCATACGTTGTTAAAGCTGTAACGCAGGTCATCATGTGACTGATGCAATTTTATACTTGGTTTGTGGTGGTTTATTGTGCAAATTACCATTGTTGTTAAGTAAACCCATTGTTTGCTATGGGGCATTTTTGCCAAAAAACGGAAGTAAATACTGTTTTTCAGCAAAAATGTTGTAAATCGTGGACATGTGACTGCAGGATAGTGCAAAGGGCCATAAATGCAAAACCATTGTATGCCCAAAATACAGTAATTTGACCACAGGTTAGGGTAGCAGCCATCAAAACTTCAGAAGCAGATTGTAAGAACCTTGGGGGGGGGAGGGCTCTTGTAACGTTGAATGGTTTCTAAGCAACCAGTCATAACTCAAGGACTACCTGTATAACACCAACTGACAGACTTTTCTATAACACCTCAGTTGACTCGTCATATGATTTTATCCCTGAGATTCACTCATAAAGTAAGCAATTTGAAGAAGACGGGAGGGAAAAGTGGAATTAAAAACTTCATAAAACTCAAGTTGCATGTTAACAGTCACCTCTTTATGCCTTGCCTCACCCAACAGTTCTCTGCTTAGGTTCTCAAATGCTGCCCCTGCCAGAAATTAACCCTGAGTAGTGAGAAAACAGATGGTTACCTGTATGTAATCTAGGACTTGCTGGTGTCTTTGTTTAGCAGCAGCAACTTCACTGTCTGAAATGGCTTCTCTTAGGGACTGCTGGGTGCTCAGAAAATCTAGCTCTATGACAGCAGAAAGGCGGCAATAGAGACTAATAAATTTTTCCTTGTAACTGCAGAAATGTACTGAGGAGACAACAAAGCACAGAAGTAAGTGTATTACATAGGGGACCCACAAAGACTTACCGTTTGAAAGCGTTTAATCGAGATCAGTTGCCATAGCTTACATTATTCCCTATAAACAAGGATTATGTGAAGTGCTAAAACTACAGAAGGGTAGTGAAAACACAAAAGCATCATGTAGGGCCTTAGCATCAAACAGAATTATGTGGCTTAAGTTTTTGTGGATCAGAGACTCCCACAGGTATTAGATTAGTAGAGTAGAAAGACAGCAGCCATATATCTCACTTATATATCTGGCTGTATTTATTGTTATATTTTGGATGTACTAAAGATCTGCCTTGAAACTTTAAAAAATGATTCCTCATTATTGGTCTATATTTTGTTCTGCTTGGTCTCAACTGGATTGTTCTGCATTGCCAATTTCCCCCCTAAGCATCTCTGCATCTTACAAATTTAAAAGCTTTTGCCATACCTGTTAAGTCCTTAGGAAAGGTTAAAGTGATTTTTTTTCTACGGGATAGTTTCCTGTCGGTGTAGAAAGTATGCAAGCTTCAAACGTACATATAAATCTCAATCAGGCAGGATGAAAACATAAGCAAGAGTGTGCTTGTACATAGAAGTTCATCAGGGATGGAAAGCCAGATAAAGCTTTCTGCTTCAAACGCTATACTTCATAGACTAAAAAATGATCAGGTGTTATTCATGCATTATTTGAGTAAAATCTACAAAGTTGTGTTGATATTAGCATAAGCTCATCAATAATGAGTTTATGCCAATCAATAAATGCTTTGCCTCAATTGTGTATCAAATGAGCAGTAAAATCCATTCTAAATTGTACTTGGCTCCTTGGGCTATGCTACACAACCATCTCAAGGACAACATTGCTAAACAGGCCTTCCATGCTTTATTATGGTTAAAATATTCATGGATAAGGGAACTTCTAGTCCATCTGAAGGGCACAGTTTCCTATACTGATTATACTTAACATCACTTTTGTTCTTGCAGTGAGGTAGAGGTTCACATCTGTCTACAAGAATTTCCTACAGATGAAGATGCTGGCCATAATACCTTTCTGTCTCAATAAGATACATATGAGGTATTGATAAATAAAATTGCAGCCCATCCAGAATAGCAATTATCTCATAACAAATTCATCAAGTCTTTATATATAAGAAAAGACCAAGGTTTATAAATGTGTTATGAAAGAATTGTATAATGGATCAAGAAAAGAACAATGGATACTGTCTTAAACCAGGTTAGACTCTTTGTCCAATTCTCCACTCTTTCAATATTGCCTACAGCAGGACGTAAGTAGAAAGTCTGCTCAATTACCAGGCATCTAATCCCATGTTGTTTAATGTGAATTGCAAGGGATTGAACCTAAGACCTTCTCACCGAAAATATGTGCTCTGTGAACTACAAACCTTCCAATCCAGACTCAGATATTTTAAAACATATTGCAGAAATACTAATCTACTCACCAAATGTTTTATATTTCTGAAACATGTGCTGTGGCAAACCCTGCTCTCTGTATTTTACAAGATGGAAGTTTGGTGGTACAGTATTCTATTTCTTTCGCATTTGCAAGTGATAGCTTTCTTCTCCCACCCTCAGTGACATATATCCTGAGGTGCCATTCAAAATCCCTGTTCTACTAGCCTTCCTTTAACAGAGCATCACAGATTGAGTTTAGGAGTATACCACATTTTTCAAGAGACAGCCACCAATTTCAAACTCCCCCCCCCCTTTTTTTTTGAACACTATCGGTTTAGATCATGATATAGAATGTTCTTCCCTCTTTCGTGTCATCCAGATTTGTTACAATAAACTCTCATAATTCCCAGCCAGTACATATGGAGAGTACCAGGTTAATGAAGTATATAGAATGAGATGAGACTCAGATTTGTGAAGAGTTATTGAACAGCCCTGCCTCTCCATTCTGCCTGATAAAGAGTTCAATGCAATTTGAAAATGCATAAACTTTCATAAACTACAGATACTGGCCCAATAAAAATATCACATTAGCTAGTTGTGTATACCTTTCTGAATATGGATTTTCAATTCTGGTTAATCATGGTGCCTCTCTCTCTCTCTCCCACCCCCTCCCAATAAAACTGAAAAAGAAAATACAACAGCAATAACAAAAAGTGAAGGGGTGCAAGTTTGTATTTCTGTTCATGCTGCATTTATGTTGCCAGATCTATGTCTTAGGTGTAATAATATATTGATCAGAGAAACTCCATCAAGCATTATTTCTGTCTCCACAATAAAAATATTGTTGAGCTAAACTTGGACCACCCCCTCACCGTTTGATCATTTTCTGTTCTGAACAAATTACTACTGGCAATCATGAAGCACATCCTAACAGGCAATTATGTGTGTTTCATCACAGCTTTCTGAGATAGTATCAGCTCTACACACATTGGCCTCTTCTTACACAAATTATAACCACTGTAGGTTAATACTGAATATTTATTCATGTGCAATGTCAACAAATAATATAAGGAAAAGGCTTTTGCCACACATTGAATTCAGTCTCCAAAAAGGTCCTTGGTGCACACAACAGCACAAAGTCAGCAGCATCTCTGTGCAGCTTTTTAAAGCAGCTTTCTCAGAAACATGCAATTGTGTTTTACAAGTGCTGCAGGATCCAAGAAAAGGATTAGGCTGCTTTGAGAAGTTTCAGACAGGTGTTATAGTCATGCTCTCAGGACAGCTAGGGAAATTTCTATAAAAAGCTTCTCAATGTCTGACCGCAGTTTATGTAAGCTGATCTAAATGTGTTATGTGTTTTTAACAGAGCCATCTTCTTAACAACACTCTCCATTGAACAAAGAGTTAGTCTCTGATGGACTTGGGTTTTTTTGTTTGTTTTTTTGTATTCACTGGGTCACCAACATACCCTACTTACAAACTTCCATGATCTATATACTGCTTGTTTAAGCTCAGCCCATATTTGTCATCAAAACATCCCACACTGAATGTCTGGCATCTCCAGAAACAATTATTAAAGAATCCTACTTAAAATCTTGGCAACCCACTTCCAATCAGCACTGTCCAAAATACAAGGGAAGTTACAGTAATAGGAAAACCGCAGTAGATTCTAATGGTCCTGCCTCTAACCTAACAATAGTACTAGCAACTATTCACGGTGCAAATTCAGTGTGTGATTTGTTCATGACTGAATATTTGAAACGTTTCAATAATCTTCTTAATAGAATTTTAACTTCCCTCAATTGTTTCATAGGTTGAGCATGTTTTCTATTAGTTTAAAGGTTTGACAAAGCTATACCTGGAAATGAATGTCACAATCTCCTTTTAATTGCTTGAAAACCTGTGGGGTTCTTTTTAACCTAGATATGTTTTTAAGCTCTTCCCAAGCTCTTTATATCTCTCTTTGATCATGCCAACATATTTTTCAACCATGTCTGAAAAAAGGAAAAAGAGAAGCAGCACTGACTTCTTTTCATCCTCTCCCAACAGGGCTAATTTCTAAAGGACTCTCTGAGCATCTGGCTTACCCTACACAGGTGGCACTTTAGCAAAATGACAACTGCTGTTTTAGCTTCAGAGCTGCATCTCCTTACTGCGGTGTGGTTGAAAAACCAGGCCTACAATGTTGGTGTAACAAATGTTAACTTTAGCAGAGTCATCTGTGGTTTTACAGTTAAAGATCCAGTAGCCACCAGCTAATATGGAGTGGAAGTTTCCAATATTTGGGAGGTGAATCACAGCTATTTTATAGGCACTAGGGGAAAATGTGCAATAAATCAGAAAATGGCCTCTGCTCGAGGGCATGAGATCAATTACTTTTTGTTTGGAAAGTAAAATTGAGCTGTTAGTAGAATTCTCCCTGGAATGCTTATGATTCCCGCATTATAAACTCACTGCATTGAGACGGATGAGCAGAGCAGCCTCCATTCTTATTGTTTACGTCAAACTGCTTTACTACCTCTGTTGTCTCTGCAGATCTATAGCAGATATCAAATGTGCTTCTAATCCTACTGGAAACATCACAATTTCTGGATTTACTTTTTTGTACAGTACCTTGGAGTGCGCTTAAGTGGCTACTGAGGATGAGGGTGGCATTATTGGAGGGGTGAGTTGAGCTTGATGCACCTACTTTCCTTCTTTATTTCAAGAAAAATATGAAAAAAAGGTTTTCACTTTCTAGGAAGTCCACTCTGCATTTCGTTGCCAAATTTTAGCAGCACCTCTAGGGACTTCCTGGATTTTACAACAACAACAACAACAACAACAACAACAACAACAACAACAAAAGAATAGGAGAAGTGCAAAGTGTAACCCTAAGCCTCAATGGCCAAAGCCAATCCTTTTATACCAAGTTGAACACCTGATTGGCAGGGAAACCTGTGAACCTGTGAACTGTAGTTGCAAGGTATCTGGAGATTACCAGCTGGGAACCATTTGTTTTGAATCCTAAAAGTAATATTGTATTATAGGAATGGCAGCATGGAGCCATGAGCCATGCCAGATATTTCTCAGCAGTCTACCAAACTCCAAGCCTTTACCAAAACATTATTTGATTTAAAAATTAAACACAATACTGCAATACAATGTAGGGCATCTAGCACTATAGTATTGACAATCACGCCTTACAATAATGGTAAGAACATCCCCAGGGCTAGTTTGCCTTCTGGTTAATGTTTTGTAGCTGGCCATGCCTACAAGGAATAGCAATAGCCCTTAGACTTATATACCAGTTCACAGTCCTTTACAGCCCTCTCTAAGCGGTTTACCAAGTCAGCATATTGCCCCCAACAATCTGGGTCCTCATTTTACTGACCTTGGAAGGATGGAAGGCTGAGTCAACCTTTAGCGGGTGAGGATCGAACTCCTGGCAGTTGGCAGAATTAACCTGCAATACTGCATTCTAATCTCTGCTATCACAGCTCTTGCCAGCAGATTGGGAATAAGCAAATCACTTTGTGAGTGTGCTAATCAGATGCCCCCCAAAATTATAAACGTGTTCCTGACCCAATGGAATCAAAGTTTATCTAGTTCAGTTTCTTATCTTTTCTGGTTGTATCTGGTAATCTAGACAGGAAGGAAGCAGCCCGTTTCTGCTGTTGTTCTTCAGTACTGGTAATCAGGGAAGCAATTCTTCCAAACAAATAAAATGGAATTACTCCAAAAACAACTGCTGTCCTCCAGAATGACTCCTAATTAGCAACATTTGTCACAGAAATGCTTTCTCTCCTAAATAAAATGACCAATGCATATATAATGGATGTATTTGTCTAAGCTCCAACTATTCTGCGTAGGCAAATGGGCGGCAATTATGAAGAACATCAAAATCATCACTAAGCCAGACCGACCTACTTTGCTTTGCTGATTAACCCATTTCAAAATGACCTGAATGCTTTACTACACTCAAGGGCTGTGTGTTGCGTGATATCTGCCGGCTTCTACAGGGCAGGAATGATGACTACCCAGACGTAACCCGGTAGCAGGTCTCTCTCTCTCTCTCTCTCTCTCTCTCTCTCTCTCTCTCTCTCTCTCTCTCTCTCTCTCTCTCTCTCTCTCTCTTACTTATCTGGAGTCAGAGAGAAAAAATGATGCTGCTAAGAAATCAAATGATTTATGGACTCTCTGCTGAGGAGAGGGAGGCAGAGACTGGATGGGGGGAACAGATACAACTTTGTGATTTTATTGTAAGGCAAGTGAGTTAATATTTCTAGGAGAACCAAGGTAGTATACCGAGTTCAAACATCTGAAGAGGGAGGTTAAGGAATCCTGTGTGGGGGGTATAAGGGTTGTTCTGTCCCGGGGCAGTGCAGACGTCGTCTGAGGCAGGGAGCAGGAGAAGAAAGGACACATTGTGACCCAATTCCAACACCTCCTGTGTATACAGACGGAACAGCTTAGCCTACAGAGGGACACGCACAGAAAAGAAATGGGGGGACGGGGGAAGGAGAAAGTTATAACATGGCATTTATAGCAACACCCCTCCCTCACAATGATATAAAACATTAGAACAAACTGTCACAACATCTACCAGACAGGCATGTCTATAAAACCATAGGCATTTGGATGTAGGTGAAGGCATACACACATGCAGGCACAACACACAGAGACATTGGGGTGTGCTTTTCTTATTCCTGCTTCAGAAAAGGTTTCATGCTCTAAGGTTCCACCTTAAAACATACACATACATAGACAACCCCAGCCTCAACCCCCCCGAAAATAACACCCATGTTACTTATTAACCAGAAAACCTACACCATGATTTTTCCAAGATTTTCATTTATGTGGAAACATGAAAATCAATTTGGTTCAAATATTCAGAACTTTATTAAAAAACAAACTAAGTAGAATTCTGGAGGGAGTTTTGTCTGCTCCCTTGCTTTTCTATCAGCCTGCCACATTGCACTGGGACAATGCAAATAAATAAATAAAATTAACAAGCTGCACTAGAGAAAAACATGAACATCAAATAGTATATTTTTTTATTAAGTATTCTTTTTACCCCAAACTGAATTATGGATTATATCTACCGTGTTCTACTTTTCCCCACAAAGCATTGCTCCCATTATAGAATGTGACCCCTTTAGGAAAACAGAAGAAACGCCACTTATTTCAAAATGGGATGAATGCTGTACAAATATTTCAGAAGCAGATGTCTAATACTGGCTGGTAAGAAATTCTAAGTCTTAAAGTTGAGATACTGCTGCCTACAATGATTCAACACAAGTCTCCTTCATTTTTCAGTTTAGCTTTAATTTTTTTAAAGGCCTGCAGAATCAGGCCAGGTTCTGCCTCCCCTCAACACAATATGCTCAATGGACGAATTGTTCCAATTTAAATGGTTACGTGTTGGGAGAGTAGTGATCAGATTTGTTACTTAAAAGAGAGGCTGACCACATGAAAGATAGCGAATTTGATGATAGCTTGGAGTTCTCTATATCCTTGGTCATCTTTGTGTAGCCATAATTAAATCACTTTATACAAAGTAGCTTTACACTAAAAAAAGAAAAAAGAAAAAAAGAAAAAAAAAGACTTCAGGACAGTTTATGCAGCAACTTTAAGATGTGTGGACTTCAATTCCCACAATTCCCTAGCCAGCATGCTATTCAAATTTCTCCAGATTATCCAACCACTGATCCAGAAGAACAGGAGCTTGATGATCTTCAGAAGTTCATTATGAAACTCACAGCACTTATAGGCAAGATGTGCTTGTTGTTGTTGGACTGGAGTGCCAAAGTTGGAAATATTAAGGAGCAAAAAATAGTTGGGTTCTATGGCCTAGAACAGAGGTGTCAAACTGCCGGCCTGCGGGCCAGATGTGTCATGGTGAAACCACGCCCACCTCATTGCTGGAAAAAAGTCACAATACGTCGCAACACGTCATGTGATGTTGTGAGTTTGACACCCCTGGCCTAGAAAAACCAAAATGAAGCAGAAGAACAACTTGATTGATTTATGCCAATCTAGTGTTAGTGATTTCTTCATGGCTTACAGTCTTCCAACAATCAAAACGATACCCATATATTGGATTGTTGACTGAAATCAAATTGGTTATATTACTGGTATAAGCAGGTGGAATACCTTGTGCTATGCTGATAATACTACACTGAAGGCTGAAAATGCAAATGATCTGCAGTCTCTAGTAAGAAAAAACAAGAAGCACAGTGAAAAAAAATGAGACTGATTAATTATAAAGAAGACTAAGCAATGGAACCATCATCATCATCATTTCAAGAGACTGGGTAGACCGTACACAAATCACCACTGAAGACAATTGTATTTGGGTGTGTGCACTTGGCTCTTGTGAGCTGAATCTGATTGCATAGCAAAGGCATTGGTGACAGCTAAATTGTATAACAACAAATTATTCTGTTTTAACACAGCATTGTGAGATGCATCTTGCGCTAAAGGCTTGGTACCTGGACATACAAGAAGCAGTCATCCACTTGCTTCACTATATACTGGTGCTCATCCAACATCTCATCCAACTTTTGAAGGTACAAAACCAATGGTAATGACCCTTCACCACTTCATGACCTACTGGCCACGGGATCAGGAGGGTGCAAACAGAGAGTTAAAGATTTACCCTGTGTTCCCACTCTATTTCTCAGTTCACACACTTCTTGCTTAAGAGGTTGCTAATCTAAGGTCACTTCCTTCCCTCTCTCTTCCCATGGACACACATCTAGTGCATATGCTCTTGGACACTCTTCCCAGGAGACGTAATTGGCATTGCCGATCCATATCATTTATTCCTTCTAAATAAATCACTTTTCTGCTACAGTCATAAAACTTGCTTCACTAATCTTGCCCAGGTTAAATTCCTCTTCTCAGGAATGCTCTTTCATATATACATATGGATCATTTCAATCTCCAACTCAAATCATATTTCACACACTTTCAGAGGTATATAAGAGCAAGCTCTATTGCCACTTACAGCTGGCCATTTGTTTTATGGCACCTATTATTATCTTGATTTAAATTAAGTTTTATACAGGGTTTCACCATGAGCTCACTGTAGTTTAAAAGTAAAGCATCATTTCTGAAAGTTTGCAAAGGCAACGAGGCTATGAATTATAATACAGCTTTCATTAATCTGTCCGGAGGCAAGCAAAATATAACTCCATCTTTCCCTAGCTGATAGCAAAATCTACACAAATCAAATCTGATACCAAATCAGCTCAAGTTCAGTGTTGTTGATCAGCATACATGCACACATAGGCACAAATACATGCATGCATGTATTAGTGGTATTTTCCCCACCAGTGACTTTAACTACTTGAAATGAGATGGATGACAAGAGTCACGTTGCATAGCCCCACAGCGAGTTAGGCGACGAACAAATTTAATATAGAAATAAAACCTGTTGTAGAGGAAGATTGATCTGTTTAAGAAGAGCTTTCATTGCCATTTGGAGCTCAAAAAACAGTCGAGTTGGGCACTCTGCAGAATGATCCATATTTTCCATAGATTCCGAGCCAGAAAGTCTTTGGATCCATTCCCATTCCTCTCTGTATAGGGAGTGAAGTTAAAATTAGAAATATAACAAAAGTTCATTGCACAAGGAAGAATTTACTGAATGTACGTTTAGGCTTTGTTGGGGTTTTTGTTCTCTAATAGTAAAATCTTCTAAACTTGTAACAGGCCCAATTGCTTGTGGTTAAAAAAGGGCCAACTTTCTGATTTCATTCTGCGTGTGCATATCAAGATGAAGACTTTCTTTGACATGCAGGCTGTTCCATGTTTCTTATAATTTTTAATGCACATTCCTTAGGGGTCTCATGCAGGCGGGTGGGTGGACTCAATTTTCTCATTAATTCATCTAGTTTCTTCATTGAATGTAGCCAGCCTGGGTTTTTATTTCTCCTCTCTTCTTAAGATTGAAGACATAAAGCTGAAACTGGACTAGAAGACCTCCAAGGTCCCTTCCAACTCTGTTATTCTGAAACAAGGGGATTGTGGGAGTATATGTACTTTAGTGGAGTGGTGGACAGAAGCATCTATAGCAGGAGGACAAGGGGAGTGGTGCAAGTACCACCCATTTTCTACATTTATCGTGATGTTGCCTAACACCTGAAAGGGGCAGAGTTTAAGGTACAACACTGTGATGTTGCCTTGGTCAAGGTGTAGGTGCCATTGGAAGGTCTACATGGGCTTTAAGTAGGCAAAACAAGTAAACCCCAACATCTCTGCAAGCCTGGCCTGTCTTGATCTTTGATCAGCACCCATTCAACTGGATTACAGTGAAAGGGCTAATTAGTCCCTGGGTGAAGGCAAGTAGGAACTGTATCCCTGGATCTCACTGTTGGGATATGGAGTTGGCTACTTCTTTCCTTACTTGTCAGGTTGCATTAGTCTGGCTGATTGCTGCATAGTGGGTAGATAAATGACAGATGAGGATAAGAAATCTTGGCATATGCCCTGATATCCCTAGTGATGAAAAATGTTTTCAGAGATCACCATTCCAAAGAGAAAGCAAATTCACAGAGTGAGTGAATAAGGGAATCCAAGCCATGTCAACTCAGAAGCTAATTCCAACCAGCATGATGGAAGTCAACCCTAGGGGGAAAGGTTCCTCCACTTACTTGGACACGTTGCAATTGTCTCGGATTTTAACGTGACACAGAATGTTAGGCAGCTTTTGTAGCACAAGCACTTTGATTTGATCTACGGAACTGCAGAGTTTTAGGTAGCCCAAATAAAGGCCCGGAGCCAGGCGTTGTTGGCTCCTTCTGTGATAGGAAAGTGTGTCCTGTTGGAGAAAAGGAGAAAAAAACAGGTTCAAAACTTTTCTTGACTTTTCTACCATATAAAAAAGAAAGAAGGGCTCACCAAGCAGTGGGCAATATGGAATGTTATCTATTATTATGGTTTGTTGCTCAGTCAGCCATTTGCCATTTTTATTCACCTATCAAATCCTTCCCAACTTCCCAAGATATTNGGAGGGAGTTATGGACAGAAGCTACTGTGCAGAAAGTGGCTTCAGTATATGGGCATCAGATATGCAATCCCAATTCCCTATTTGTATGTTCATTTGTAGACTAAATAAATTCACTGACAGTTTCCCAGCAGTGATTTGACTGGAACAGCAAAATGAATCTGCTAAGGTATTCGTAAAGAACGCCTCACCTCATTTTAGCCCGGCATTTGGAACTGGAAATATTCCTAATCCTAATTTGTTCTAAATGGGCAATGAAAGCATTGGAAATAAGAGCTGGAAGATCTATTGCCAATCTTCCTCCTACATCAGGAGGCTATTACTGACAGTCTCATAGTAGAATTCATTTATCCTATCTTTTGTTTCTTTGCTAACATTCTCTATTATCAGTAACTGAGAAATGGATCCAAGCATTTAAAATGGAAAGAAAAAGAGGGGGGGAACAGAATTGGAATTAAATCATATTAAAAAAAAAATGTGGTATGAATATGGAGAGGTCTCCTGAGGCCAAGTAACTGCAGAAAAGGGTTATGGAGTCATTGTGTGTCAGTTGGACTGCTATATAAATTTATTAAACAAGGAAACAGAGAAACAAACAAAGAAATATAAATGTTACTAACAGATAAATGTGAGCAATCTGGAGAAAAGAGAGTTCATGTGATTTTCTAACTGTTCCTTTAAAAAATTTTTGTTGCTTCAGAATGTAACCTAAAAGTGAATTTGGCAGATTTTGCCGAGGGATTTCAAAAGGCAGAGTAGGGAGCGGAGACAGAAAATTAAAGATGTCAGTGGCTGTCAGAATAAACATGGTATGCGACAGGAGTGGCTGTGCTTCCCAAAGCTGACATTTGTTTCTTCTCAGCAAAAAGGGATACAAAGGCTCTCCTGCTCAGGTTCTAAAATCCAAATATTATTAGTAATTTTTTTTCCAGGTGGAGGAGAAAATTTGCAGTATCCCTTAACTGCTGGTCATTGTGTCAGAGGTGTAATTCCAGGGGCACTGAATCTTCAACACCTCATGACTGACTGATCACAAGGAGGCAATGGGGTGTAGATGGCAAGTTTTAAAAAGTGGTTTCTCTCTGTCTATCACTGCTTGTTTCTTGTTTAACAAACTGCTAATCCGAGGTCACTTCCTTCTGCTTTTCTTCCTTGGGCGCACATCCTCAGAACACATGTTTTCCAACTCTGGCTCCAGTAGGATGTAGTCATCCAAGTTAAGATAGGCAAGAAAATAATAAGTGAGCACCTGTCCAGCCTTATTGAGTTCAAATCACCAGGACCAGATGGATTACACCCCAAGGTTCTCAAGGAACTGGCAGATGTGATCTCAGAACCACTGAACTATATTTTTCAAAGATCTTGGAGCACTGGGGAACTACCAGAGGACTGGAAAAGAGCTGATGTAGTTCCCATCTTCAAAAAAGGAAAAAAATGGATCCAGGAAATTACAAACCTATCAGCCTGACCTCAATACCTGGGAAGATTCTGGAAAAGATAATCAAACAACGAATCAGCGAACTCCTAGAGGCAAACAAAGTCATTACTAAAAGCCAACATGGGTTTGTCAAAAACAGATCATGCCAGACAAACCTTATTGCATTCTTTGACCAAGTGACAAAATTAGTGGATCAGAGGAATGCTGTGGATATAATTTACTTGGAGTTCAGTAAGGCATTTGATAAAGTAGATCACAACCTACTACTCGATAAGATAGAAAAATGTGGGTTAGACAGCATCACCACCAGATGGATTCCTAGCTGGCTGACCGGCCGTACTCAGCGTGTGGTCCTCAATGGAACTGCATCTACATGGAGGGAAGTGTGTAGTGGAGTGCCCCAGGGCTCTGTTCTAGGCCCAGTGCTCTTCAACATCTTCATCAATGATTTGGACGAGGGGATAGATGGGGAACTCATCAAATTTGCGGATGACACCAAGCTGGCAGGAATAGCCAACACTCCAGAAGACAGGCTTAAGATACAGGAGGACCTGGACAGACTTGAACATTGGGCGCTATCTAACAAAATGAAATTCAATGGTGAAAAAAATAAGGTTCTACATTTAGGCAAGAAAAACCAAATGTGCAGGTATAGTATAGGGGGTACCTTGCTCAATAGTAGTAACTATGAGAGGGATCTCGGAGTCCTAGTGGACAATCACTTAAATATGAGCCAGCAGTGTGCTGCAGCTGCCAAAAAAGCCAACACAGTGCTGGGCTGCATTAACAGAGGGATAAAATCAAGATCACGTGAAGTATTAATACCACTTTACAATGCCTTAGTAAGGCCACACTTGGAATACTGCATCCAGTTTTGATCACCACAATGTAAAAAAGATGTCGAGACTCTAGAAAGATTACAGAGAAGAGCAACAAAGATGATTAGGGGACTGGAGGCTAAAACATATAAGGAACGGTTGTTGGAATTGGGTATGTCTAATTTAACGAAGAGAAGGACGAGGGGGGACATGATAGCAGTGTTCCAATATCTCAGGGGCTGCCACAAAGAAGAGGGAGGCAAGCTATTCTCCAAGGCGCCTGAAGGCAGGACGAGAAGCAATGGATGGAAACTGATCAAGGAGAGAAGCAACTTAGAACTAAGGAGAAACTTCCTGACAGTTAGAACAATTAACCAGTGGAACAACCTGCCTCCAGAAGCGGTGAATGCTCCAACCTGGAAGTTTTTAAGAAGAGACTGGACAGCCATTTGTCTGAAATGTTGTAGGGTTCCTGCCTGAGCAGGGAGTTGGACTCGATGACCTCCAAGGTCCCTTCCAACTTTATTATTATTATTATTATTATTATTATTATTATTATTATTATTATTATTATTATTATTATTATTATTATTATTATTATTATTATTATTATTATTATTATTATTATTANACAATTGAGTCCCCAAAAGCTTATCAGAAGGAATGTTTGCTTATGTGTTGAAATTTGACACATATGGAGAAAAAGAGGGTTACCTGGATTGTAATAAGCAAGATGTCTAATGCCGTTGGCTCCTCAGGTGTCGAAAGTGATTTTCTCTGGCTCTGTAGCTTAGATATCTGCATCCATTTGCCATTAAAAAAAGAATAGAGGCTCTCCACTTCTCTGATTGTCACTATGATAACATTGCCATGACGGTCTTTGATTGGTTCATAATAGATCTGGCCCAGGTTGTGTGTACCTAACAGGTTCTGTGATTGAAGAGGGAAGTGTTGAAGACTACAAAACACACAATTATTGACTCATTTTCACAGGTCATAATGCACATTTTTGAATAGCAGAATAGCTTTCAACAGCTGTTCAATGGAAATAAAAACAGCGTAACCAGCCAAGCCCTTCAAATGATCATTAGTTTAACGTTGAGGCTTTCTTGTTTCAACAAGGTGGTAAATCCCAAGTCAGGGTCATAATTATCACAAAGAGGAAACTCAACAGTTCTGTTCGTTTCAAATTGATGATGTCTGTACTATCTTTATATCAACAGAATTAAGCACATGTTAACAAAATAGAATATGTTGTCAAATAATAATTTTACCGTACTACGTTGTACTGAATCTAGCCACCGCTCCATTTAGCTCAGCATAACCTGCTCTAATAAGTAGCAGCAGTGGCTGGGGCAGATTCCTAATGCTACCATTATCTGAGATGTTTGCAACTGGATCCTGGGACCTTCTGTGAGGAAATATGGGTTTCTACCGCTGGGATGGACTCTTTTCTATGGCATTAAATAGAACATGATGGGAAAGTTCTATATAGCTCTACAGCTGCTAATCAATTGACAAAAGGAAGGAATTTCACAAAATGGTCTGCATAAAACTATAAAATCTTATAATGACAACATTCCCAGGGAGCTTGAATGGAAATGGATCACATTCATAGGCTTAGATCTCTTCTAACAGATGGGAACTTGAGCATTTTCTTCACAGCAAAGAGAATTAATCCAACGTAGTGATTGTTTACAATTTGAAATGCCTTCTGCGTCCCTTAGTAGGATGTAGGAAAATTTCTGTTAAGACAGCTGGGTGGAATATGGATGTATGGTTTATACCAATATTCCCCATGCTGGTGATCTCCAGATGTGAAGGAAATTCCTAGAATGTCCATGCTAGTCACATATTATGAGAACTCCTGTACTAGCACACCTGGAGCACTCTAGACTTGGGATGAGTCTTCCAGTTCTGTAAGCTTGGTTCACCTGTTAGCCTCTGAATTAATCTCCATTGATACATTGACAATGCTGGATTTGAGATCACAAGATCACTGATGGAGGTGTTTATACGCAGCTCTCTCTCTTTCTAAATCCAATTTTCATTTTGAAGGACATAAACATTATGGTTGAGTTTGAAAGCTACAAAGTTGGGAGTTGACTGATGCCAAGTGTAATATCAACTACAAATGTATACAAGACAGAGATATTTGTATTTCAGAAAACAACTAGACTATGTACATACCAAAGGTGCTTTTTCAAGAGGCAACTGTTTTTCTTTGAAGATGTTTCGCTTCTCATCCAAGATGCTTCTTCAGCTCTGACTGGATGGTGGGGAATGGGAGGATTTATACTCCTTGCAGACAGCTGGTCATTTGCATTCTTTTAGTGAATCATTGAGGCCACTTGGAGGCTTATCTATGTCTTCAAAGTCACCTGAGTGGTGCAAATGGGTGTGGAGCCTTCTTGGAACTGCTGAAAGGACTGTGTTGTAGACTGGAGATAGATGATGTCGTATCCCCCCACTCTGTTGAGAGAGGGCTGTTCAACTTTGATTCAATTTTCAAATTTTCCTTTCAGCAGTTCTAAGAAGGCTCCACACCCATTTACATCACTCAGATGACCTTGAGGACACAGACAAACCTCCAAGTGGCCTCAGCGGCTCTCTAAATAAAAGAATGCAAATGACCAGCTGTCTGTAAGGAATATAAATCCTTCCATTCCCCACCATCCGGTCAGAGCTGAAGAAGCTTCTTGGATGAGAAGCGAAATGTCTTCAAAGAAAAACAAGAAAGTCCAGTTGCCTCTTGAAAAAGCATCTTTGGGACAACCATGACCTGGATGACTAAAAATCTCCATAGACATTTAGACTATATATAATTTCTAGGTCAACAAGCATCCCTGCAGAGCTCAGTGACATTACAACAGAACAATGACAACTTATTAAAAGACCATGGGATATGATCATCTTGGAAGGAAAATGGGTGCACTTTCTGACTGTTCTCTGAGATCCCCATTGCAGTCCTTCTGGGACGTATATAATTTATATTTGCTTTTTTTGACATAAATATTTGAAACAGATTTTTTTTTTGCAGCAGCAGCAGCAGTTACCATGTTTAGGATTATCTCAGCATCTTTATACAATATGACAATTGCATCTCATGAAGGTTTGTGCAGGACAATTTCATGACAGAACATTCAGGGCAAATCTTGAAAGAACATGACCGCTCCCAGCACTGGAATTAAGATTTTCTAGATCACCTCTTGATTATAGTTTAGCTTTTTCATACTCTTTAGTAACTCACCTAGGGCTGAGGACCAGTGTTTGTTTCCTGAAGAGATGCCCAGATGTCTCACAGAAAAATCCCTAGCATTTTAAATATGCTCATGACTCTGGAAGTTTTCAAAAGGTCTACAGTATGCAAGTAATTGAGGGGGGGGGAGGAATGATTTAAAAGGCAAAACTGAATTGACAATGTGGCACATTGTTCATTATGAAAGCAGAGGGGCTGTACATTAACCTTAATGACATTCTCATTTGATAGATAAAGCCACCCTGAGCAGACTCTATCTGCACTTAGCAGACTACTATTTACCTCTGAGCAGCATTATTAAGATTGTTTATAACCAAAGCACTCAGAACAGCCAGCACACTGGCTGCCATTTAGAAGTGCCTTTAAGTAGCTATTTTAGCTTTAGGCATCCCCCATCCAAGGCACACAGTAGGCGTTCTGTATCCTTATGGGCCCTCTGCTCTTTCGCTGCCTGTAAAGGTTTTGCTTAGAGTCAGATAGACTTAATTTTATTTTTATTTATTTATTTTAATCATTCGGAGATTACTTAGCACGCTCTCTGCCCAGGAGGGCAGGAATGCAAAAAAAAAAAACAAAAAAAAAAACCCCACACAAAACCCCACAAGTCTTGTAAGTCAGACCTGTTATTCAGCTAGACATGTCCACCTATGTTACCAAGAAGCATGTGAAATTTAGAGTCAGGTTTTCTAGGGAGTTTATTTTTCACACAACGGAGAGCACATTTGGGATGCGGCGTTTAGCTTTCTGATCTGCCTGACAGGTTGACTTTGCTTGTCAGAAGGTCACAAAAGGGATACTGTATTTACTGTCGTAAATCCATGCCAGTTGCCAAGTGTCTGAATTTTGATCATATGACCACGGGGATGGTGCAATGGTTGTGTGAAAAATGGTCATATGTCACTTTCTTCAGTGCTGTTGTAACTTTGAGTGGTCGCTAAATGAATGATTGTACAATGAGGACTACCTATAGTACTGCATTATTCTGCTTCTGGATAACATGGTCAAATCACTATGTACTTCCCCCCCATCAACTGCTCCACATCCTTGGCAGGTACTAGAGGAGGCACAAAAAAAATGAATAGATTCTTAAACCGTGCAGGAATAAGTGATTGAAGTATCACCAGCGTAGCTCCTCTGTGGTTGGAGTAGACAGATCAGGAAGAGATGAGGAAAAGTAACGGGGAAATGTTGCCAACTGCATATTAATAAAGCATGCTCACAGTTTACACCAATGAGCAAGTCTGATCTGGAAGTAAATTTGTTTGTGTTATAGGAAATAGAATTGGCATTTTTTTTTTTGGCTTACTGTTGCTCATTTCAGGTCTAACTAATTTCATAACACAGCCATTCTTTTATTTGGTCAGCCAGTTATGAACCCTTGCTTGACCTGTCTCAGACTGAGATTTGGGATGCAACTACTTTGTTTCCTATGTATTAATTGTAAATAACCACTATCAAAAAAAGAAGAACTATTTTTACTCCCACTCATCTATCCTCAAAATACTTAGGATGTACTTAGGATGTACATATGTTGTATATAGTATGTTTTAAATGTGTGTTATCTATGTGTACACTTTGAGAGGAAGCAACTAAATTTCATTTTTAATGTGTGCCATTGCGCCCACAGGAAAAAAAAATGACAATAAAGGTTATCTAATAAGGTTTTCTGAGTTTGGTGACCACAGCCAGCCTGTCCCAAGTTACTTCCCCCAAGTAAGTTGAAGTTCAAGCTGCAATTTCCAAATTTCCTTTTAGCTGATGAGTAAGTTCATGGGTTGCAATTTCAAAAAAATATGGAGAACCCCACGTTGGAGAAGGCTGTTGTAGTTATTAATGGTGGATTTCCACAAAGATCCTTAAGGCTCAACTCTCTCAGTTTTGTCAAAGCTGGTAGAGAAGATATTTTGTCTGAAATCCCACCAGAAGTGGCTATCCAAGGGGAAAGAAAATGAGCAGATGCCCCAGAGATTGTTATCCCGTCACCTAATTAATTATCCAGGATGCTCTCTTGTTTGATGCTGGCCAGGATTTGCTGTCTAGAAGGCTGCCAACACAATAATCAAGCATCTCCATCAGCTGTGTGACTGAGCAGGTTATTTGCTTTTTTAAAATCCTCCTAGGCAGGCGACTATTTATTTCCCGCATCACATTTAATTCTGCTCTCTCTGACGGTAGCTCTGGCTGGGCTTTCAAACCATATTGCTGCTTGCCTGCCTCACAGCATATAATTCTCCTCTTGAGGCCATGCCAGAAGGAAGTGCTAAAGGAGGGGACAGCTGGCAGCTTTTTCCCTTGGGGGCCCTACCCTTGCCGAGATGTGACACGGAAAGCGGGCGCTATCACTCACCTGTAACTGGGCTGCTGCAGACAGCATTTTCTGCCTGGCTTGGAGTGCTGTGGAGGAGGACATAGAGACAGACATGTTCTGCCTCAGCCATCTGATCTCATCCCACATACAAGACAGCTGCAAAATACAGAGAGCAATTGGCAGGGGACAGGATGGGGGGGGGAGAGAGAAAAAGGCAGGAAAGATGAATGAACAAATGTTATCTTCCAAAAAAGTAGCTGCTGTGGGTGGCAATGTGTTGACTGAAGTTATTAAATGAGCAGAGTTGTGTTGCATCTAATCAGCATACACACCATTTATCTCTCCTAATATACCTGTATGCCATTCTATGAAAATAATCAGTCTGGGCTCAAAGACAACATGGGGAGAGAAAGGAGGATGCATTTTTGCACCTGCCCCCTCTGACTTTTATTAAACATCCTGAGCAATCTTAAGGATCTTCCCTTCCAATGACTTCAGTTAATTCCAATGTCAATCCAATGCCAATCCTTACCAGCATTAGTATTTTAAGAAATCCAAGATCCATTTTGTACCCTTGCAAATTAATGGGAAGAAAGGGACTTGCCTGGGTTTATTTAAATCCTGGATCAATTAAAACAGGTTTGTAGGGGCAAGAAATAAACAAGATTGGGTATGATCTGGAATGAGTTTGAACCAGTGACTCCAGAGGAAGTGGGTAGGATCCTCTCTGCTAGAAGCACAACCACCTATTTATTGGATCTGGTTCCTCCTGGGTCATAAAAGTGGCCAAGGACGCATTCTGCAGTTGGACCCATGCTGTGGTGTTGGTCTCTGTGACAGAGGGGCTGGTCCTTCTCCTACCTCTCCTCAACAGGCTCTTCTTTAACCCAATGGCTTTTTATAACTATTGTCTGGTCTTCATCTTTCCCATTGTCCTTCATCCATACCCTGGATTTGGGGATCTTCCATCTCTGACCTTGGATGGGGTTGCACTTCCTTCAAGAGTAGGGCACAATTTGGGGGGTCTTCCTGGACTCATTGCTACTGTTCAATGAGTAGGTGCCAGCTGTGGGCAAGAAGGCCTTTTAACAGCTTCATCTGATATGTCAGTTAGGCCCTTTCCTAGGTCAGAAAGCTCTTCAGAGAGTCGTTCATGCCCTGGTCACCTCCTCATGACCTGACTACTGCCACAGACTGTTCATGGGGCTGCCCTTGAACACTTCCCAGAAGCTTCAATTCATCCAGAATGTTTTATGAGCTGCAGTAGTCGCCCCTTTTCTTCCAAGGGGAACTGGTTGTTACCTATAAAGTGGTCATGGCCTATGCCAGGGGTCTTCAAACTTGGCCCTTTTATGACCTGTGGACTTCAACTCCCAGAATTCCTCAGCCGTGCCTGGTTGAGGAATTCTGGGAGTTGAAGTCCACGAGTCATAAAAGGGCCAAATTTGAAGACCCCTGGCCTAGGACATGGTTACTGAGGGACATGTTTCTCACATAGTCGCTTCCTGACCAAATCAATTTTGCAGGGTTGGTACACTCCAGATTCCTTCAATTAAACAATGCCATCTGTCACCTGAAGCTCACCTTCTCTGCAGCAGCACCTGACCTCTTGAATGCCAAAATCTGAGTGGGTCTCACCCTGCCAAAATCTGAGTGGGTCTCACCCTGCTAGTGTTTCTAAGAGCCTTGAAGTCTTGGCTTTTTGCCAAACCCTGGCAAAGGTGAGTGAATCCCCCTTGGATTGTGTGGGTTGGTTTCTTTTTTTGTTCCTGTCTGGTTCTTGTCATTTTTATTCTTTTATTTTTGTCTCTTATTGTATTTTTTTTTTTAAAAAAATGTTCTTGTGAACTGCCTGTAGTCATTGGGAGCCAGGTGGCATACAAATTTTAATACTAATACTAGTTTCTAGAAATAGTTATAGAAAAATAGTGTTGATACAAACAAGAGTCCATTACCGATACATTACGAAACCCATGTGGAAATTGCGCTTAGCTAGATACACATGCTGTAATATCAACGGAGGATGGGTTTGCTTCCAACCTGTTTCTGTTGTATTCTTCAATTGGAAACAAGTTTTGCAGCACCTGCCCTTTCCTGACACACAGATGTATCAGTTACTCTTGGAACCATCATCAGTAATTTAAGGTCTCCCTCTGGTACTCAGCAAAGACACCCCAAATTCTCCTCTTTTGCACGGTAGCTTTTTTTCTTCCATGCCCTTACGACTAAATGAGACGCAACGTCACCATTAAATTCACCAGTTTAAAGGCACAATTCCTTTTGCTTGCACAGAAAGAAAAGAGGAATTTTAGACTATGCTGGGGTGAGCACATCCTCACAATCTACTACCTGAAATGTGAAATAAATGAATGTAGAATGTAGGACTGCCAAGAGATATGTTCTAGATAGGGGGCAGGGTTCAATCCCTCCACTGTGTCTGCATGTTTTCTTTGCTGTATACCAGGGGTAGGCAACTTTGGCTCTTTTATGACTCGTGGACTTCAACTCCCAGAATTCCTGAGCCAGCCATGCTGAGGGGAAAGGGAGAGGTTTCCAAGCTGAGCCATGGTGGCTCAGGAATTCTGGGAGTTGAAGTCCACGAGTCATAAAAGAGCCAAGGTTGCCTACCCCTCGTCTATACAGTGGATGCTATTGCATGGTTTCTATACAATTATATCACATTCAGATTTTATGAATGTGATGTTTACAGTGTTCTGTAGCCATATACCATATAAGCCTTCTAATCCTTCATCAGTCTTTGGCCTCTAGATTTACAAAATACTTGGTTTAGTTGGCTACCAGATTTCATCTTAAAATGCAATCATGGAAAATTGACTTACTGGTCATCCTCCCCATCCCTCTTGGATCCCCTAGATGTCCTTTGGCCATCCAGGTCTAAGTGATTGTTTAATATGTGGTCCTCCTACATGACTATTTTTTATGATGGTTGGGGCTGATTGGATCTGGAGTCCAGCACCTGGAGGGTCACAGATTCCTTACCTCTGCTCTACATCCCGCAGGGCTCACAACAGTGTGTCCTCACACAACTCAGGCATGCATGTGGCTAAGAAGGGCTGTTTGTATAGAAAGGAAAGCAGAGGGCAGGGACCAGCCCAGAAATATCCTCCTGCCTGGAGGAGTTCAACCAAGGGAGAAAATGGCAGGTTGTGACTTACCTTTGTGAACCAGAGAAAATCTTGCATAATAGAACTGGCGTGAGAATCATCAATTTCCACTATTGGTATGTGATCTTCATTGGTTACCAACATGTTGTCTTTGTAATAAAATATCACAGCTAAATAAAGCCCTCTGCATTAAAATAAATGAGAAGGGGAAAAAAAGAATGATCAGGTGTCTATTTCAAAAAAGACTGATTTGCATTCTGCAAAGCAAGAAGTCCTTACGTTCCTCTAAGCTGGCCTAGCACTTGATTGAAACAATAGAATTCAACTCATTGCTCCCCAAAGGGAGAATTTCCTAGAAATGTTATACATGTTAAACATTAGCAAGTCTGCAGAATAACTCTACAAACGTCTGAAGTAACATTGGCTTCCTTGCATGGGCAAAGCTACTCACAATATCGTGTGCATCTGAATTATGTTTGGACAAGTAGTAGCAAAATATTTGGATTTGGAAATGACAAATCAACATGGAGCATCAGATTCTGAGACCTAACTAGCCTCGTTTGGACTTGAAAGGGTAAAGTCTGGGCAGTAGGGAGAATTTTAAAAATCCCAATCTGTAGACCATTGTTTTTCAACCTCAGCAACTTTTAAGAGGTATGGACTTCAATTCCTGCGACCTCTTAAGACCCTCAACTTCAGGTGTGTAGAAGTTCACCAGTTCAAATTCCTTCTGACAACATCAGATTAGACCCTACGACTTTTTTGTTGTTGTCGTTTTGGTGACCAAAACAACGGTTCTTTTGTTGCCATATACCTACATCAACACTTCAATGGTCTTCAATTCAAGTTGAACCTCTGAAATAAAAAATAGTTTCAAATGTGAAAAAAACCAAGTTATCTTCTTATGCTAGTCATTTTCTTAAGTAAAATATTCCCTTAAATTCAAAATTATTTTTATTATTTTAAAATATTTTAAAACTGAATATCAGTCAATTATTGCATTAATTACCAATACTCGCATTAGTATGAATACCTTTCTTTTTCTACTTTTAAATTTCTTTTGCCATCATGGCAACAACAGTAATATTTTTCTGGTTGCCTTCTAGCACCCATAATTTGGTTTCTCCAGAAAATTTTGCACGTTGCTCCAGATTGTCTTAGAAAATCTAACTGCCATCACAAGGATGTCCAAAGAAGTTGTTACAGGGAAAAAATACAGTGACTATAAAAACTGAGTACTTAAAATCAAGCCCAGAGGTCTCAGGTAAAAATAAAATCATACGGTTGCAAATAATTGGGAAATAATGGAAAAATAGAAATGATAAAAGCCATTCATTTGTTGCATCATTTGTTTTGAAATAAATGAAAGTTGAGCTAAAACAGACCTGCTGGGTTAAATTTTCTTTTATTATAACTCTCTCTTTTGAATTCTTGTTTTTCAAACTCCTGCTTCCAGGTGACACTTTCCATAAATTTATTTATCTAATAGGAATGGAGGCTGTGGGGTTAAATATAGAAACTTCTGCATTGTAGAAGATTCTAGGATATACAGTAGTTTGGAGAATACAATCTCAGTTCACCTCAGGTGCTATCCACTCTGTTAAGCCTTATTGTTGAACTACTTTTATTCATCCAAAACCACATTTAAGGTGTCTTATGCTGTTTTTGGAATACTTGTCTCACATTTCTGATTTTTCGTAACACCTTAAATTGTAAATTCTGAGGATAACTACGGGAAGACACCAAGTGGACCTTGTAGTCACATTTTTGAGAGAACATTAACCATAATGTCATAACGATAAATATCGTTCTACTAGGTCGTAACGTTGGGGTACTTAGTTATCCCAATGAAACCTAAAACAGGTCCCATTATCAGGTAGTAACGAATGTGTTTTACCAATCCCTTAACATATTTATACTTACAACCAGTTATATAGATTAATGAGCAGGTTTACTTAAGTGAATGATTACCAGAGCCTCTCTTTGGAAAGAAATATAAAATACAAAGAAGACGAAAAGAATACTGCTGGTGATGAAAGAATATATTGTCCAGGACCAAAGCTTTAAGATTCAGAAGATTAGGTAAGTTACCTTGGGACAAGGGACAGTTCAAATTATGACTATATTAGCATCAGATTTGCTAACTCAGAGTTATTTAAAAAGGTTTACTAATGCATGTTTAAAGCAAATTTGGATCTGACTTCATAAAATCAGTAATCTGCTTGCACAGAATGTGTGCCACTGGTTATGTTTGTGTAATAGACTTAATTCAGTGTTTCTCAACCTTGGCCACTTTAAGATGTGTGGACTTCAATTCCCAGAAGCTGGATGGGGAATTCTGGGAGTTGACATCCACCCATCTTAAATTAGGTGCCAAGGTTGAGAAACACTGACCTAATTGATTGGGGGAGGGGGAGAATCAGATATATTATGAAAGCTCCCTAATTCATACAAGCGACCCATTTAACAAACTTAGCTTTCGCGTCATGAACTTGTTTACCAGACAGAGAATAAACTCTCCTCATTTTTGAGACTAGGGCAATATTCTAGAGAGAACACACAAAAATCAGCTTCACTAGAAACTTCTTTCTCTGCCTCTCCTGTAGTTTTCAATCCATCCCATGTCCACACCAGGGGTGGGGGGAGAGAGGCAGAAAGGAGTGGAGAGATGGCTCCAACTGTTCCACTCCCCTGACATACAATTCATCCCTTATTAGAGGGTAAAGGGTTAAGTCAGCCTTGCCTAATCTGGGGCTCTCCAAATACTAGAACAATTTCTATAAGCCTCCCCCCAGCCAGCATGGGAGTTGACACCCAACCTCTCTGTACAGATTACTGTAATTGTCTTCCATCCAAATAACTATAGGCCCAAGTGGTATAAAATAGAAACAAATTGGCTTCACGGTGAGAAATTAGATAGCAGAGTATTGCCTGCATTTTTTTTCTTTCTTTCTAGATTGTACATATAGTACAATCCTATATAGGTTGTATTCAAAGGTACTTATTCCTGGTAAGCATGCCTTTGATTGGTCTTAGCGGGTGGCTGGCTTTGTCTGAGCTCAGCAGCTCAGCAGGGTGGACCTAGTAAGGACTTGGATGGGAGATTATCAGGGCAGTTGCTTGGACTGGGAAGTTTAAAAAACACCCTGGAAGGAGGCTGTGGCAAACCACTCTCATGCTGTTACTGAGAATACAGCATGGATGTGTCCTGGTAGCCATCAAGTGTTAAGCTGGATCCAAGGTCATCTTTACCTTGGGGTTTTAGTTTGACTAAAAAGCTCCCTGGATTTATCAAGGAGACAAATTATTACCTGTGAAATTACAGGGTCTTATGTTGCTGATAAGGATAAAGAAGCTGTTGAAACAAAGGATTGGACAAATGAACAGGGTCACCCGAAAGCATGAATGCTTTTGAAGATTACTCTGAAGATCGGCTGCTGTTTAGAAGAGGCTCCTTGGCTGCTAGATTTAATCCTTTTTGTCACACCCAAACAACTTTTCCTTTCCTTTCCTTTCCTTTCCTTTCCTTTCCTTTCCTTTCCTTTCCTTTCCTTTCCTTTCCTTTCCTTTCCTTTCCTTTCCTTTCCTCTCCTCCCCTCCCCTCCCCTCCCCTCCCCTTTTGCTCTCCTTTCCTCTCCTCTCTTCTCTTCTCCTCTCCCCTTCCTTTTTCCTTTTTCCTTCTTTCTTTTCATCCCTACCCTATCCTACTCTATTCCCTTTGTCTCCTCTGCCTCCGTTCACTCTTTCATTTCTCTCCCTTTACAGGGACTTATTAAGGCTGCGCAGACGTCTAGATCTAAGAGCAAATAAATGCATGGGTATACACATATCACTTTTGGGGAGCACTTTAAAGCATCATCAATTTCTCCTGGTCTGGCCATATTTGGAATCTATTTTTGGCAGATATACATATCCAACTATCCATAACACATACATGTTTACAAGTGTCCCATACACATATATTAATTGCGTGGGAGAGGAATCTCCAAGAATGGTTCTTAGCTAGAAGTGGCAACCTTACATTGATAAGGTCAGAAGCTAGGTATTAGCCAGGATTTAGGTCTGTGTGTATGGTGGGTTTTTTTTGTCTTCTTTACCCTTTGTTTTAGGGGAGAACTGTACTATATTGAATTAATGATCGTCTTTCCAGGTAAGAGGATTTATACTGAAGAGACAGGGACGGCAATAGAAATGAAAGCTGAAACTTGAGGAAGGATCCTAATATATTTTAGCACATTTTTTTCCAAATCCTGCTGTGGTTATTGTCTCAGCTTGTAGTGTTTTCCAAAATATTAAACAATTTCAGAGTACAGAATGCAGATTATGTAAGAGAGAGACTCCTGGGAATTTCAAATGTAGTACTGTGATTCTCTTAAATCAAACAAACCTTTTCAAAGTCTTCACAAACTTGTTTGAAGAATGGAAGAGATGCTTCAGGCTTCTGGAGACAGACTGCTTGCGACCCACATTCTGCAATTTAAAACTATCTAGAGTGTTTAAGGAAAGAAAATGAGAGAAAGTAAAGGAAATTGGAGCAGCTCTGAAGTATAGGATGTATTTTTATTGAGTGATAGTGGCAATTATAAAGCTATACATTTATGAACAGGTAGTCGTCGACTTATGACCACAATTGAGCCCAAACTTTCTGTTGCTAAGCAAGATTTTTGTTAAGTGAATATTGCCCCATTTTATGACCTTTCTTGCCACAGTTGTTAAATGAACCACTGCAGTTGTTAATTAGTGACATGATTGTTAAAATAAATCTGGCTTCCCCAATAACATCACCGTCGTCATCATCATCATCAGGCAGGAAACCCTATACCATTTCAGACAAATGGCTGTCCAGTCTCTTCTTAAAAACTTCCAGTGTTGGAGCATTCACAGCTTCTGGAGGCAGGTTGTTCCACTGGTTAATTGTTCTAACTGTCAGGAAGCTTCTCCTTAGTTCTAGATAGCTTCTCTCTTTGGTTAGTTTCCATCCGTTGCTTCTTGTCCTGCCTTCAGGTGCTTTGGAGAATAGCCTGACTCCCTCTTCTTTGTGGCAGCCCCTGAGATATTGGAACACTGCTATCATGTCCCCCCTCGTCCTTCTCTTCATTAAACTAGACATACCCAATTCCAGTAACCGTTCCTTATATGTTTTAGCCTCCAGTCCCCTAATCATCTTTGTTGCTCTTCTCTGTACTCTTTCTAGAGTCTCAATATCTTTTTTACATTGTGGTGACCAAAACTGGATGCAGTATTCCAAGTGTGGCATTACCAAAGGATTGTAAAGTGGTATTAACACTTCACATGATCTTGATTCTATCCCTCTGTTAATGCAGCCTAGCACTGTGTTGGCTTTTTTGGCAGCTGCAGCACACTGCTGGCTCATATTTAAGTGATTGTCCACTAGGACTCCAAGATCCTTCTCACAGTTACTACTACTGAGCAAGGTACCACCTATATATTATACCTGTACATTTGGTTTTTCTTGCCTAAATGTAGAACCTTACTTTTTTCATCATTGAATTTCATTTTGTTAGATAGCGCCCAATGTTCAAGTCTGTCAAGATCCTTCTGTATCTTAAGCCTGTCTTCTGGAGCATTGTCTATTTCTGCCAGCTTGGTGTTGTCTGCAAATTTGATGAGTTCCCCATCTATCCCCTTGTCCAAATCATTGATGAAGATATTCAAGAATACTGGGCCTAAAACAGAGCCTTGGGGTATCCCACTACACACTTCCCTCCATGTAGATGCAGTTCCATTGAGGACCACACACTGAGTACCGCCAGCTACAAATCCATCTGGTGGTGATGCTGCCTAACCCACATTTTTCTATCTTATTGAGTAGTAGGTTGTGATCTACTTTATCAAATGCCTTACTGAACTCCAAGTAAATTATATCCACAACATTTCTCTGGTCCACTAATTTTGTCACTTGATCAAAGAATGCAATAAGATTTGTCTGGCATGACTTTGCTTGTCAGAAGGTTGCCAAAAGGAATGCATGACCTTGGGACATTGCAACCGTCATAAATATGAGTCAGTTACCAAGCATCCGAATTTTGATCACATAACCATGGGTATGCTGCAAAGTTCATTAAGTGTGAAAATGAATTCTTAACTCATTTTTTTCAGTGCTGTTGTCATTTTGAACGGTCACTAAATGAACTATTGTAAATCAAGGACTACTTGTATATTATTAATGTTTTTTTATTCTAAAATATAGTCCTTATAGTAAGAAAAAGAAGGAAACTGACAGCAAGCAGAAAGAGTAATCCAGAAAGAGAACAATTTTTTCCTACCTAGCTTTGCAGGGAGATTTTGGTTGAAGAATATCATGGGAGTAAATCCCACCATAATTTATGTTTCTAAACTACATGCATCTATACTACAGCCTTAATAAAAGTGGAAGTCACTGTTGCTTAACTCTTATTAAGTAGAAATAGGAATATAAAGATATTCAGGCCATAGTTTAAGATTCCCAGAAAACATTTTGTAAAAAATTTTGCCTATTGAAAAAGCAGTCTGAAATATGGTGAAATATCTACTTTTATGGCTGACTGGAAACCCCTTATAGACTTTTTGCAAGAAGCAGAAAAAAGTGCATTTAGGATTTGTGGGTTTTGATGATTAGAAAAAAAAGGAATAATAGAAAAAAGGGAGCGTTTTTTGTAACTCTAGAATAAGACAATTTTCTAATCAAATTTGCTGCAAAATAAAATGGAAGCTTTTTTCTTTTGATTCATTTTTATCTCTCTTTCTGTGTTTTAGTTTTTTTCCAATTCTTTCTCTTTTTCTTTTTTCTTTGTTCTGTATTAGTTTGTGCTGATGTTATGTTCCCTTTTAAAATTTTAATAACATTTTTATAAAAAAATATGCAATGTGGTGCAGGAGTCTTTTAAACTCATGGAAGATAGAGGACATGGATAGACTTAGGGAGATCAGAGCAATTTTTCCTTTAAAGTTGTTCATGCCAAGTTCCAAAACAATGGGAATTTTCAGAATCTCATTCTAGCAGAAATCACTCATGATTAACCACAGTTTTAAAAATTAGAATCCTCTGTAGCCCTGCAATTCTTTCTTGTTCCCACTCTCTCCTTTGTTAAGAAAAAATAACTAGAGACAATAAGACATTTTTTAAAAAATTTACTCCAACAGCTATTTTGACTGACAAAATAACGTCTGCAGAAATATTCTGAATAAATTTGAGATGGTTGCTAGACTTACTCTCATCACTACTATGAGGATACAGAAATCTAACATACTGCTACCTTTTCTATATTCTTAAATTTGTCATACTAAATTTGTCATACTAAAAAAAAAAAGTGATTTGGCCGCATAGTGTTAACTGCATTTGAACATATTTATTCATATGAGTAAGCTCTGGCATATATTTAAGCAGATAAATATATTTGCATTGTGATTTGTAATTGATGGCAGTGAAATACCATCAACACCTTTATCACATACAATGAAAAAAGAAGAGATATATGATGCCTTAGTCAGATGTTAGGAAAGACTTGCGGAATGAGGAACACATCAGCTTCATATGCAGCCTGAATCCTAAATTGAATTGGGCTAATTTGGACAGATTCAGGAAAATGTTCGGATTCATGCAGAATCTGTGCCTATTACAGCTGTGCAGCATGTTGATTTTGAAGAGGAAAAAAAAAAAAGGTATTTCCGAGCATACAGGCATGTTCATGTACCGGAAATTGCTCTCAGTACTCTTTCAAGCAGCTGTGTCTTCTTCTAGACTAATTCCAGAAAGAAGTGTTTGGGCTTTGGATGACCAAACGTGGACCTCTGCAATGTGAAGTCGGGTGAGATTTTTGCTGCAAGTTTTTAAATGAAAAGCTAAGCCAAGTAAATACCTGTTTTGTTCAGATATGTAATGTACATTTTAAACAAACAAACAAATAAATCCTCCTAGCAAAATGAAGCCAGGTAGATTAGGGCAGCTTGAATTTTAAAAACTGGATCACTGGGAAGGATTGTGGCTTAGCTATGAGTAACATCAGCAATATCACTAAATGGGTTTTCAAGATTTTGGTTACAAAATTGTTTATACAAATTCTTCCTATTTATAAAATATAGCTTGAAAGAACAACTTCTACAAGAACTAGAAAATTCAGGTGTATCAGAAGAGCTCAATTACCCCAGCACCAATATGATGTAATATTTTTCACAGTGATACATTAACGATCCTTTGGGTCTAGTCATCTTTCTTTCGGTACAACATCTTTGAAGATAATACCATACTATCACTTACCTTCATCTCTAGGATCAATAAAGTCCCCTTTAAAATTTGCAGGAATAGAGTCCCTAGCTATTTTAAATCTTTTCTTATCTTTTAATACAGAGGACCTGTAAATAACGAAAAAGCATTTCAATCACCCTGCATTGCTGTCGTTTTCCTAAAACTATCTTATTCAATCATCTTTCTCCAAGATTTTAAGCATGGATTTGGGTCCCTGGCTTCCTACGTTCACCCTAGCCAATTAGGCTGAGTTCATTTCTTGAATACACTCCATTACTTTCTGAATGGAAAGCGAACGGTTATCCTACAGAGTAAAAGGAAATGCTTATTCTTGGGGACACAATTGGAATGAGAACAATCTGGCTCCCTACTCATCTTCTGACTCTAGGCAACAGAAGAAGATGCTGCGGAACAAGATTGTATAGAATCCTGGATCTGGAATATATAAAGATCTAAAGCAGGGGTAGTCAACCTTGGCTCTTTTATGACTCGTGGACTTCAACTCCCAGAATTCCTGAGCCAGCTAAGCTGGCTCAGGAATTCTGGGAGTCCACGAGTCATAAAAGAGCCAAGGTTGACTACCCCTGATCTAAAGAATACATGAGGAGCTGCTCATCAGTTTAAATGCAGAGCTGTTTACTCAAAATCTGAACAATCAAAATACATATTATTATTTTGTATTTTGCAGAAAGAGCAAAGAGCAAGAAACCGAGTTCCTTGGAACCTCTCCAGATAAGGAGAAAATGGGAGATTGCTCACATGTTCTCTGGACAGTTGATCCTCAAGAGGAAACTGCAAGACAGGGGTTTTCCATGGGCTTTAGCACTGGGAGGTGACAGGATCAGTCATTTTGCTTGCAGCCATGGAGGAGACTTTTAACAGACACTAAGTTTGCAAAACTCACTTCGTAATCTTTCAGAAATTGCGTATTAATCATTTTTAAGATCTTTGGACTGCCAAGTCTGAAAATGCTGGGTGAGTTTCCCTCAATCCTGAATTGGGGAAAAAAAATTAATTGTAAGTTTAAAAAAGTTAAAGAGTCTGAAATAAAGAACAAGAAAGCTAAATAAGATTTTAATAGATTCTGTTTTGGTGTTTATAAAAACAAAACAAATTTTATATTTCAAAAACTGGACACTAGAGGGGACTAAAGTTTTTAGGTAAAGATTTATAAATCTGCAAAATGTTGTTAGATATTGTAAGAATGAAAATACAGAATGAGACTTTTGAAGAATGGAATCA